TATCTATCTATCTATATATGAATTTGTATATGTGTATAAATTTGAAACTCTTCATTTTTTTACAGAATTTTCCTTTTTAAAAAAAAAAACCCCAAGTTTATCCTTGGCAAGAATTTGGTAAGAACTTAGAAAACAATCACCAAAAGAAAAAAAAAACATTGCTCAAGAATGGCCTGCCTGCCTGCCTGTTTGTCCGGCTACACGATTTTCTCTCTAATCCTCATAATATCTGCCATTGCCTCCCGCACACGTGCTGAAGCCCAGCCTTTCTCCCCCTGTAGAATGGAGACAAGCTAGCGTCAGCTTGGGAAGTGCTCTGTGACTTAGAGTAAAAAGCTCTTCACCTGAGGAGTAGCCATAGTAAGTGCCTAATACAAGTGGTTCTCGGGTGGGTGAGAGGCTATGTGCTGGCTTTGCACCACGGGCTCAGAACAACTTGTGGTCTCAGCTCCTCCAAGGAGGTTCTCAGTGGTCTAGAACCCGACACGCCGGCATCAACAAGAAAAAGCCAATTCTCAGGACTCATCCTGCATACTCAGGAGCAGGGGCCTGGCCAGCTGTGAGTTAACTGATGCTGGGACAATCTGAGAACCAGCAGTGCATCACAGAGCAACACGCATGCACAGAGAAGCGCGTGCACAGAGAAGCGCGTGCACAGAGCAGTGCATACACAAAACACATCTGACTTGCGTTTCTTCTTCCTTCCTTCCTTCCTTTTGAGACAGGGCTTCTCTGTAGCTTTTGGTTCCTGTCCTGGAACTAGCTCTTGTAGACCAGGCTGGTCTCGAACTCACAGAGATCCTGCCTCTGCCTCCTGAGTGCTAGGATAAAGGCATGCGCCAGTACCGCCCAACCTGACTTGCGTTTCTTGATGATTCAAAGCTTTAGTGAACTGAGTTTCTGCGCTTAGAATTTTTTTTTCCCCAGACACATGGTGGCATGTACCTGTATTTAGCACTCAGGAGTCCAAAGCAGGAGGATTTTTAACTTTGTGGCCAGTCTGGGCTATATAGTAAGACCTTGTCTCTAAAAACAAAACAAAACAAAACAAATAAAACACATTTGTCAGCTCCTGAACACATCAAAAAGTAATGCATGCATGCCAAGAACTGTCTGTCCCTCTTCTGTATATTTTTAACTAGTATAAATGTCGTAAATTAGAAACAAGGTATTAAATAATTAGTATTTGTTAGAGCACCGGTGGAAGCAGAGGCGCTCCTGGGAAGGACTTGGCTGGCCACTGAGTTCAACATCGGGCTTCATGGTCGGTGGCTCTCAGTGCTGGATCTGGCTTGATCTTCTCTGAATGCCAGGAACTTTTGGTGTTTTGCTTCATGGGGTTTGATGTTTGTTTGAACAGGGTTTTTCATATAGCCCAAGTTGATCTGAAACTCGAGATTTGCCTGCCACTGCCTCCTAAGTGCTGGGATTAAAGGTGTGTGTCACCATGGCCAGGCATACTTCGCAGACTTTCAAGGGGCTTCCTGGCAGATTCTCCTCAAGCTGCTTCTGGAGAGCTGAAGCCTTGCCTCCCTGCCTGGTGGAATGACGAAAGCTGGCAGGCCTCTTATTATTCGTCAGCTCCACACAGGAACTCGCGGAGCTGCTCCACAATGAGAAGTTAGTCTTCTGCACTCAGACTTGGAGAGCATCTTTCCACCAGGGAGCAGTCTGGTCAGAAGTCCAAACCCACAACTCCAGGGAACACTTAGCAAACTTACACAGCCCCTTCTCGGTGCTTCTTTTGTTTGTGTCTTATTTAAAAAGATAACACAGTCACTATTCCGAAGTTATTCTCATCAACGGCCCATTCAGAAGTGATTTGATGTTAAAAAGGAAGATACAGGCCAAAATGCTTCCCGTGAGATATTAAATAACCAATGCAAAACTTGCTCCTCCCTTTGCATATGCAGCTGCATGCCACGCAAACCGGACTTCACGTGGATGTGATCCAGCCAGACTTCTAAGTGCTGTTTCAGGAGCACTGCGGGAGGAGAGCCAGGACCTGCCTAACCGCCAGCATTCACTCTACTTCCTGGGGAGTGCTATTTCTGTGAACCCAACTTCCAGGAAGCCAGGCTTTCCTGCCCGTGACCCTTCCCAGTAGGTAGCCTCTCCTGTTCAGTGACCACCATGAATGGGAATTGGAGTTCTTGGATGCGGTATTGTCCCCTCCCCACCCTCCATGTCCCCCCATGCCCACCCCCACCAATATTCACGGGCCGGAAGTTTAGTGTTCAGTGTGGTAGTATTGAGGATGTGGTGGTACCTTTAAGAGCTGAGACCTAAGGGAAGGTGACTAGGTCAACTAGGGGCCCTGCCCTTAGCAAGGACAAATGTTCTCATTAGATTGATTAGTTTCCGGAATGCTTTATTTCAAAGTAGCCTGGCATCTCCCCTGAATCTCCAGCTCCCTATCTCTCCGTGGGATCTCTCCCCCATACACTCTGTCCTGGGATTCAAGTCGGATTCACCATTTTGTGACGTAGTTAAAAGGCCCTCACCAGGGCCAAGCAGCTATCAGTGCATGTTTGGAGCTAGACAAGCCAAACCACGAGCTAGGGTTTTGTAAAACCATAGCCTAAAGCCCAATACTGTACCCACTGGGTCTGAACTACACAACACAAGGTCTTAATGGCCAAGCAGTGGAAACAGCATAAGACAACCTGGACAAGAGCAGCAAAAACTGAATGTTACAACAGCAACAGCTGGCTGCTAAGGAACTTGCTAAGGAAGTGAGTCCTCAGCCTCTGAGCACAGGGGACAGCATAGCAGGCTGACCTGAGAAGTCGATGGGGTAGAGACGACGATGGTCCCTAGTCGGACCGGTGCAGGCTGCTTACGGGACAGGAAGGAGCTGCCTGTGTTTGGCAGGTCAGAGCGTTTAGTCCGTTTAGTCCACAGATGGTGACTGCCTGTTTTTGGTGCCTGGCACAGGAAATGGGAGACGAATGGGATCCACAAGGATGAGGGAGCACGGTGTGAAAGGGACTGGGTGGCGTTTCACCAGAGAGAAGATCCACAGCTCAATGTCACCCCTGCTGCAGGTAAGCCAAGCCGAAAACCCACTAACCCAGCAGTGGGTCTGGTTTTATTAGAGGTAGAAAACATTAGGCCAAACTGTACGGTTTTGCTGTGCTGCCGGAGGACAGAGCAGTCCAGGGCAGTCCGTCCTCACAGCATCTTTTCACTAACAAGGTCACACATCTGCAAGGATGCTCAGAAAGAGTGAGGTTGAAGGACCACTAAGAGAGAGGGTGTTCTGGCCTCTGGAGAAAGTGTAGTCAACTGAGCAAACACTACCGCTAAAGAACAAAAGATGAGACCAAAGTCCCCTTCATCCACGCATACACATACCCCCCCCCCCCCCCCCCCGCCCCAAGGACAGTGACTGATGAATGCTGATGCTTCCCAACCTGGAATATTCAATTTACAACTCTTAGTCTACGACAGGGCAAAGCTGTGTGCTTCAGTAGTGAACTGAACTTTGGTTTTGAATTTGCACCCACCCCCTCCACATCCCCGCAGGCAAGCAGGACTTGATCTTTCCTGTTCAGTGCTGGGGAGTAGCGGTGGTTACAGATTTCTGTGCTGCTGAGTTCATAGGTGGCAGGCTTTGTGCTTAAAGGCACCCTAAGCTGGGCTTTCGGGACGTGGATCAAGGAACTGTCCAGAGAATGGAAAGAATGAGACAGGATCCTCACCTGATTACACAGACCCAGTCTAGCTTCAGTACCAGAATCCCTCTATACTAGGCATCTCTGAGTCAGGTTGGACTATACACTGGGGGACAAAGCACCCCCAAACCAGACGCTAGCAAATGATTCCACGAAGGCATCTTTGTCTGTTTGTTTGTTTGTTTGTTTCTCTGTGAAACAGTCCTAGCTGTCCTGGAACTCGCTCAGTAGACCAGGCTGGCCTCGAACTCACAGAGATCCACCTGCCTCCGCTTCCTGAGTGCACAGCCACCACTGCAATAATGAATTTATCTTTATATGTACATTGGTGTTTCACCTCCATATATGTCCCTGTGAAGGTGTCAGATACCCTGGAACTGGAGTTACAGATAGTCATTTTGGTGCTGGGAACTGAACCTGGGTCCTGGAAGAAGAGTCAGTACACTTAACTACTGAGCCGTTTTTCCAGTCCCCCAAGAATGCATCTTACACAGCTGTCACGATCAAGGAGGAAGGGCAAAGATGGAGTCAGAGAGGGAAATAAAAGGGAAGCTGTCAATTCAATTGCCAGAAGAAATAAAAGTCCCCACAGGAAGATGATTCAGCAAGAAGATCTATGTTGGAAAGCAGAGTCTGAGTTAAGACAGTAGCAAAAAAACAAGATGGAGAACATTGCAGTTTATTTTGTTAGAATTAGAAACAGTTTCCCTAAGCCCTTTTTATTGTTTCCATTAATAAAGAGAAAATCAATAATATCTCATAATCACAGACAAGTCAAGCATATGCCAGTAACTAACACAGTAACTTTTCATGATGGTGCCAAAAGCAATGGCAGAAGAAAAACTTTGATTTGGTTTATGGTTCCAGAGGGATAAGAGCCATGAAGGCGGCAAGGCAAGGTAGCAAGCAGTAGGAGCAGGAAGCTGAGAGATCGCATTTCTATCCACACACAGGGAGCAGAGAGAGTCAAAGATGAAGTTATAAGCCAACAGAGCCAGCCCGCAATGATGTGCTTCCGCCAGCAAGGCTGCACCCCTATAACCTTTCCAAGCAGTGCCACCAACTGTTCCAATGCCTGAGCAATACCTGCGGGGACAGCAGTTTGTTTCCTTGTCCAAGGTTGGTCCCTGAGCAGAAGCTCTCCCTTCCTGTGTGTGGCCTACTCTACGATTATAAAATTATTTCTCTTACCATCATTGCTATTTTCCGATTCCCTTGCAAGCATCCCGAAACAAGAGTACGTTCCCATGATCCAGCCTCAGGCCTGCCACATGGTAGATGCTCTATAACATTTTGATGAGAGAATAACAAACGGTCATTTACCTGCGAGTCATGCTTCTCCGCCACCTTCCTTACAGAGTCAAAGGTCTGCCAAAGGCAGGCTGGGCGGGAGCCCAAGGTGCACTCTTTCTTCAGGCTTCAGTTTGGTAACTCCATTTCCTCTACCTGGAGCCAGCAAAGGTGAAGAAAGGGCCATTCACTAAATGAGAAGAATGTGCACCCCCATCCACCCACTCACGCTACAGCAGGACTCTCATGGCTAACAAGAAACGCAGCCTAAAGTCAAAACGAGATGGCAGGTTTCCTGTCAAACTTGCAAGTCTAAAAGCATAACATCTGGTCAGGAGGTGCTGGCATAGTTTTTTAATCTTAGAACTCAGGAGGCAGAGGCAGGCGAACCTCTGAGTAGGAGGCCACCCTAGTCTACAGAGCTAGTTCCAGGACAGTCAGGGCTACACAGTAAAATGCTGTCTTGAAAAAAAACCAACCAACCAAACAAACAAACAAACAAACAAATAAAAAGCATTACATCTGGGGTTGGAAGAAAAATCAGTCCTCTCCCTGACGGGATGGAAACAAGGCAGGTTCTCTCCAAGGCAATCAGCAGTGTGCACTAAAAGCCTTAACAAGGGCGTGCTTGATCCTGACCCCATATACACTCCAGGAAACACTAACTGGCGCTCCATGAGCAGGTACGATACTTTGTATGCTTTTAATGTCTCACTGAAAATAAAATTAAAAATTGCACTAAGCGTTTCGCTGTTGGGAATATAAGGCAGAGGGCCGAGGAACTCATGGAAATGCCACTGCAGATTTATTTCTGAGAGCTAAGTCTATCAGCAAGCGCAAAGAAAATGGGATTTCTATAGACTTGAACTGCAGAGATCAGAACCCTACTGCGTCTGGACAGCAATAGGTGTAGAACTTCAAAACCTATTAAGCACGCACGGGTGGGGAGTGGGGCTTTAAAACGTATCCTGTGACCACGTTTTAAAAGTGTTTTCATGAGTTCTGGATGGTTCAGGGTAGCTGACTCAGGACACAGGGCTGGTGGAGGCAACAGAGGCTACCTTCTCCGGTCTCTATTACCATCTCCACCATTGGATGCATATGTGTATAGGATTGACTTGCTGTACTCTGCCCTGCCATAGGTCAAAGAAGCTTCTTTATTAACCAAGATAATAAAACATATTCACAGCATACAGAGGGGAATTCCACATCACCCACTCATAGGTGCAGAGGGCATTTCAGGAGGAATTTGGGAGAAGCAGCCTCTGAGGCAAGGCTCCCAGAATGCTTTGTCAGGGCTTTTCTCTGAACTAGAAACAGACTGTGTTCACACTGGGAAGGAAAAGCTCAGGGGTAACAGGCATTTTAGAACTGTGGTGGCTAAATTCACAAATCCATGTGCTGAGCCTTAGCCACCTCTGTGACAGTATTCACAGGATTGGGGCATTAAGAGGCCAGAGCAGCCAGGCTGTGGTGGCACACGCCTTTAATTCAGCACTCAGGTGGCAGAGGCAGGCAGATCCCTGTGAGTGCTAGGCCAGTCTGGTCTTCAGAGGAAGTTCCAGGACAAGTTCCAAAGCTACAGAAAAACCCTATCTCGAAAAAACATAACACAACAAAATAAAAAGAGGCTAGGGCAGAGTCCTCATGGTAGAATATGAACTTCCAAGCACCATGGTGGAAGTGGATACTGATCATTCTTGAGACTCCAGAATTGTGAGAAAGGCATGCTACCCAGTCTATGATATTTTGTTGCAGCAGGACACACAGAATAAGAATGTAGGTATATAAAAATCAGGAGAGTAGTCCGGGCTGAGAAGGGAACATCTTGAAATCTTGCTTGAACTGACATAGTCTATATCAACTACTTCCCGAAGAAACAATATTATTTTAACAAAAGTTCATGTGCTTATTGCATTCTTTATTAGGACTTTGTATTTTTTATTTTATTTCTTATTCCATTTTATTGAACACTTGACAACCATTTTCCTGGTTCCTTAGGACTACATGGTAGATTCTGGTCATCAATGGTTCTCTCTGGGTACCGCATTGACTGTGCCCAGGACCTTTTCAACAGTGTTACTGTGAGCCTGCGCACCTAGTCATTCCATAGTTATCTTGAATTATCCCTTCCCCCACTTTAATAGATCTACTCTAATTTCTAGTATTTCCTTTCCCTGATAGAGTTATAAAAAGCTTTATTTATCTCTCCATGACTCTGGCAACCATAAAAGTTCTTTCCTTTTTTTTTTTTTTTTTCTGTTCTTATCACCCCTTCATGTGGGACCTAATCAGAAGGTTCCCAGGAATACAGTTTTCAGACAGGAAGCAGGTTTATAGCCTTGCCAGTTCCTCCAGTGTTTGCAGGAGGCACAGCCTCGGGGCCGTGTAGTCTCTCAGTGTATGAGCCCAGCTCTCTCAGAGCAGTGGTTCTGCTTTATCTGGAATCTCCAGGCGATTTAGAGACAAAGAGTTCTTCTTTTGTTGTCTCTTTCTCTACAAGAGGATTTAGCACTCCATTTCTTTTCTCTGCTTTTACAATTGCAATGTAGGATCACCACGATGGGGACATAGTCCTCATCTTGAACTTAAGTTTGCCCTGGTCTGAGAGTCAGTCCTGGTGGTCCCAGCTCCAGGAGATTCCACACGGGAAACAATCACGGGATTGTTGGAACTCAGACTCAGAACACAATGTGAGAGCTGTTCTGCTGTGCCTCCTGCCGACCTGCCGCTGGACCAAGAGGCTTAATCTCTCAGGCACAATCCGTAGACTGAAGTGGGGGTGCGGGAACTGAGAACTCAGCTGTGAGTCCCTCTGTGGTGCAGTTGAGTACAGTTTCACATACAGGGACAGTTCTGCTGCAAAGAAAATTGACTCTCGGTTCTAACAGATGAGAAATGAGAGACAGGCTACGTTTGGTGGCAGGGGAGGGTATTTTAGCTTACAGTTTATAGTTCACTAGGAAGAGATGGCAGAGCAGGGACCAGGCCATGGAGTAACACTGTTTGCTCTTCACATCTTACTCAGTCTGCTTTCTTATACCACTCAGAACTACCTGCCCAAGCGAGCTGGGCAATCCTCCATCAATTATTAATCAAGACAGTGCCTCACAGACATGCCTACAGACCAATCTTACGGAGACAGTTCCTCAACTGAGGTTCCCTCTTTCCAGATGACTCCAGCTGCTGCCACGTTGGCAGAAAACTAGCCAGCACACCCACCAACCTGATGTCTCCACCAATGTATTTGAAAAGTGTCTTGATTTATGATGTGCCTTGTCCTGTGACTGTAAAAGCGTCATGAAAAGGTTATCACACTGGAACACAGAACTGTGGGTAACCTAAACCTGTATTCCCAAGCCATACTGACTCCTGGTTATCTCCAGAATACATGGTCTTAGTCGGCTTATCCCTCGTCATTTGTGCTAAAATCCTGTCCTCTGCTCATAAAGATACCTTGATTTCTTCCTTTCCTAGTTGTATTGCTGGGGACTACTTCTAAAGAATAGGATTGAGACAGCAAAGATCAGAGCCTAAGCAATGGAAATCTGTTTCTCATAGCCCGAAAGTCTCCAACTTCACCACCAAAGCTTCAGCAGCCCTGGCTCCTCGCAAGGCTGCCCTGGCTGGCTTGTTGGAAGCCATCTTCGCCTGTCTTTAGTGCCGTCCCTCCAGGTACACTGTGACTGTGTCCCAGTCTCATTTCGTGGACACTAGTCAGAGTGGACCAAGACACAGCTGGGATCATTTTTAACTCGATCGCCTTTTTGAAAGACCCTGTCTCCGAAGACAGCCACATTTCGAGGGACTCTGCTCCAGAGCATCAGGATTTGAGTCCAGAGGAAAGACAACTTAGCCGGTGTCTGTGAGCATCCGTTCTTTTGATTTCTTTCCTTTTCATTTCTGCCTTGCTGAAACACACTTCCTATGGCTGTTTTCTGCTCTGATTTCATACATTACTCTTTTCTCTCAGCACCCGATGAACACGTGCTGAGTTCCACAGGGCCCCGAACACTGCACATGCTCAGGAGGAGGAGCAAGCCTGAGATTCCCCAGGAAGAGTCTAGAAAAGTTTGTAATGGGAATGAAGAATGTTGGAGTTCAGAAGAGCCATGTCTCCTTCTGCCTGAGGTAAGAGTCTGAAGAGAGGGGTGGACAGTTAAGATACACTGGAAATAGCCTGACATTCATGTGGCAGAGAAAATGGCAAGGACATTTCAGAAGAGAATCAAAAAGTATATACACTTCAGAAGCAAGAGAGAGCATGGTTGGGAGCTGCGGCCTCTGGGAGGAGGATGGGGCAGAAGAGCCTGATCCTTCAACAAGCTGCTGATAATTATTGGAAACGTTAACAAGTTAAAGTACCATATCTAGATTTCTGATACAATGTGCAAAATCGTCATTCACATGTTACTTAAATATGTCTGCAGCATACGACTCTTGCTACCTGTTAGTCTTGTAAGAGTTTGCCCAGTTCTCAGCTCATCGAAGTCAGGGGCTTCATCTGGTGGATTTTTTTTTTTTTTTTTTTGCAAGCATATGCCCCTGTAGCTGTTACTGTGTGAAAATCGGGGCCCTCTGAAATTAAAACATGTAGTAACATTGGTTGATCCTTTCTGTTAAATCCTTCACATTTCCCCCCCTGGAAGGGTCTGTGATGGTTTGAATAAGAATGGCCCCCACAGGCACATATATTTGAATGCTTAGTCATCAGAGAATGGCACTACTTGAGAAAGATTAGAAGGTGTGGCCTTGTTAGAGTAGGTGTTGCCTTGCTGGGGGAAATGTATCACCTGGGGTGGACTTTGGGGTTTCAAAAGCCGAAGGCAGACCCAGCATCTCTCTCTTCCTGCTGCCTGTGGAGCCAGATGTAAAACTCTCAACTACTCCCCAGCGCCGTGTCTCCTTGCATGCCACCATGGTCCCTGTCATGATGAAAACGGACTAAACCTCCAAAACTTGTAAGCAAGCCCCTATGAAATGCTTTCCCTTATAAGAGCTGCCATGGTCATGGTGTCTCTTCACAGCAATAGGACACTGACTAAGACCGGGTCCCATTCCATTTTCACACTGTTCAACAAAGCCAAACTGCTCTCCCAATGTGACCTTTCCCTACTGGAAATTTCTCACCCTCAAGTATCATAGCGAGCTTGTCA